TAAAGAGAAATAAATAGGAAGGAAAAAGTCAAAGTTTCCTGTTTGCATATGACACGATTCTTTACATAGCAGATCCAGCACAAGACTTTTAGATCTGGCAAACAAATTTAGCCAAACAAATTTGGCAGGATACAAAATCAGCACACAAAAATCAATAGCACTCCTGTACGATAATAATGAAGCACCTGAGAAAAATCAAGAAAGGAGTACAATTCACAATAGCTTCAAAAAATTAAATAACTAGGAATCAACCTAATCAAAGAGGTAAAAGAACTTAAAATGAAAATTATGGACTGCTGATGAAAGAAATTAAAAAAAACATTAGAAAATGGAAAGATCTTCCTTGTTCATGGATCAACAGAACTAATATTCTTAGAATAGCCATATTATCAAAAGCAATCTACAGATTCAATACAATTCCTACTAAAGTACCAACATTTTCCACAGAGCTAGAGAAAACAATCCTGAAATTCACATTATATTGTATCAGAAAATACGCAGAATAGCCAAAGCAATCTTGAGCAAAATAGAAACGCTGTAAGTATCACAATATAGGGTTTTGTTACAAAGCCATAATAACAAAAACAACACGGTACTGTCACAAAAACGGACATAATGATATGTGGAATAGAAAACACAGAATAAACTCATACAACTACATTTATCTGATTTCTGATAAAGGAGCCAAAATATATGCTGGAGTAAGTAGCCTCTTAAATAAATGGTGCTATGAAAACTAGATATTCATATGCAGAAGACTGAAACTAGATCCCTATTTTTTATCCTATATCAAATCAAATCAAAATGGATCACACCTAAATATAACTGTCAGAACCTTTGAAACTGCTGGAAGATAACAAAAGGGAAAGAGCTGATCACAGGCACAGGTAAAGACTTCCTGAATGGGACTCCAATAACATGGAATAATATCAAGAATCAATAAATGGTATTATAACAAATTAAAAAGACTGTGCAGCAAAGGAAACAATCAAGTAAAGAGATGACTTACAGAATGGTCAAAATCTTTGCTGCTCTTCTGATAGGGGATTGGTATCAAAAGTAATTAAAGAATTAAAAAAAATTATCTTCAAAGCAAATAACCCCATCAGAAAATGCACAAATGAACTGAAGCGACACTTCTCAAAAGAAGTACAAATGGCCAGATTTTTTTCTCATTGGTACATTTTAGGTATACAGTACAGTTACATTCATTATTGGGATCTTGTACCTTTACATGACAGGTCTTGGTACTCATTTTTTTCCCGGTATCCGTGCCCTCCCTTCACCCCCTCCTCCCTTACCTATTTACAGATACTTTATTTCCATTTTTTCATTTTTTTTCTTTTCTCTTATTACATTTCCCCTACACTTCCCACTTACCCTACACCTTTAGCCCTTTTCTTCCTATTTCACATTGTCATTTATATCATTAGGATCTTAAGTACCATTATAGTTTTTCACACCAGAGAAACTATTTGGTATTTACACATGTGTGACTTATTTATTTCACTTAGGAGTATATCCTCAGTATGTATCCATTTTCCTATGAATGAATCTAATTTCTCATTCTTTATGGCTGAGTAGTATTCCATTTTATAGAAAAACCACATCTTCTTTATCCTGTCTCCAACTGGCAGGCAAATGGGCTGTTTCCAAGTTTTAGCTATTACAAACTGCGCTGCTATAAACATAGGTGTGCATATATCACTGTGATATGATTCTTTTAATTCTTTTGGAAAGATACCCAGCAGAGGGATGGCTGGGTCAAATGGAACCTCTAGTCCCAGCTCTTTGAGGTATCTCTATATTGATTTCCATAGTGGTTGCACCAGTCTGCACTCCCACCAACAATGGAGAAGGGTTCCTTTCTCCCCACAACCCTGCCAACATTTGTTATTGTGTGACTTGTTGATAGCAGCCATTCTTTGTGGGGTGAGGTGGAATCTCCGTGTTGTTTTCATCTGCATCTCTCAAATGACCAGTGATGTGGAACATTTTTTCATATATTTACTTGCTGCTTTTACTTCCTTGTCTGAGAAATGTCTGCTCATTTCAGATGTGCATTTTCGAATTGGGTTTTTATATTTGGGGGGGCTGATTGCTTTGAGTTCTTTATATATTCTAGATAATAGTCCTTTGAGGAGCAGCAAGTAAAATTTTTTTCTCACATTGTAGGTTGTCTCTTAGTTCTGTTGATGGTTTCTTTTGCAGTGCAGAAGCTTTTTAATAATATAAGAACCCAGGTGTTGATTCTTTCTGTTAGTTCCCATGCTACTGAGGATTTGATCATAAAGTCTTTTCCTACGCCAATGTCTTCAAGAGTTCTGCCTAACTTATCTTCCAGCAAATTTAGTGACTTTTTAAATATTTAGATCTTTAATACACTTAGATTTTAGTTTAGTGCATGGTGAGAGATAAGGGTCTAGTTTTAATCTTTGGCAGTTTGAAATCCAGTTTTTCCAACACCAGGTATTAAAGAGGCTATCTTTCCTCCAGTGAGTACAGTTGCCTCCTTTGTCAAAGATGAGGTAGCTGAGTACATCTGCAGTTGTTTTTGTGTCTTCCAGTCTGTTCCACTGATCCTCAGGTCTGTTTCTTTGCCAGTACCATGCTGCTTTTAGCACTGTTGCTTTGCAGTGTAGTTTCAAACTGGGAATTGTTATACCCTCTACCATGTCTCTGTTGCCTAGGATGGCTTGTGCTATTCTAGGTCTCTTCTGGTTCCAAATGAATTTTTGGATTCTTTTTTCTAGTTCTGTGAAATATAGTGTTGGAATTTCAATTGGCATTGAATTGAATCTGTATAGTTTTGGTGGTATGGCCATTTTCACTATGTTGATTCTTCCTAGCCAGGAGCAGGGGATATATTTCCATTTTCTTATGTCCTCTTCGATCTCTTTTTTTCAGAGTACTGTAGTTTTCAGTGTAGAGGTCTTTTGCTTCTTTTGTTAGATTGATTCCTAGATACTTCATTTTTTTGGATGCTATTGTGAAAGGAATTGTTTCCCTAATTTTTCTCTCAGTGAGTCTATTATTTGTGTACAAGAAGGCTATTGATTTTTGAGTGTTGACCTTGTATCCAGCTACCCTGTTAAAAGTGTCAATTAAGTCTAGAAGTCTTTTAGTGCAATTTTTTGGGTCTTCAATGTAGAGTATCACATCGTCATCAAATAATGACAGTTTAACTTCTTCCTTTCCTATCTTTATTGATTTAATTTCTTTCTCTTGTCTAATTGCTGTGGCTAATACTTCCAGAACTATATTGAAGAGGAGTAGTGATAGTGGGCATCCTTTCTTGTTCCTATTTTAATGTGAAGGTTTTCAGTTTTTGGCTATTTAATATGATGTTGGCTGTTGGTTTTTCATAGATAGCCTTTATTAAGTTGAGAAATAGACCATCAATTCCAATTTTTGCAGGGTTTTTTTTTATCATGAATCTCGTTGAATTTTGTTAAATGTTTTTTCTGCATCTATTGAGAGGATCATATGGTTTTTGTCCTTGACTCTGTTAATGTAGTATATTACCTTCATTGACTTATGTTTGTTGAGCCATCCTTGCATCCCTGGAATAAATCCAACTTGGTCAGGATGTATGATCTTCTTGATGATCCTCTGTATTTGGTTTGCTAATATCAGTGAATGTTGACAGGGTGTGGGGGACAAAGGAGCTCTTCTACATTGCTGATGGAAATGGAGACATTACAATCACTATGGAAATTAGTATGGAGATACATTAGAAAAGTAAAAATAGAAATACCATTGCATCTAGCTATACCACTCTGGCATATTTCTAAAAGAATTAAAGATTTCATATCATAATGATACATAGATACTCATTTTTATAGCAGCACAATTCATAATAGCTAAGAATATTATCCAATCATAAAAAAGAATTAAATTGTGCCCTTTGCAAAACAATAGATGAAACTGGGGACTATCATGTTACGCAAAAGCAGCCAGACTCAGAAGGTTAAATACTGCATGTTCTGTCCCATATAAGAAACCTAAAAAGTGAATAAATAAATTATTAAAATAAAGAGTTGATGAAAACTAGAAGGTAGACTTTTAGAAGTACAAAAGGGGGGAGAAAAGAGAGGTTAGCTAAAGGGGTGAAAATCATCAAAAGATTATAT